TGCCCCGCCCAGAATCCGCCAGGCCCCGCTGTCTATGGGGGATCCCCCCTCGGCTGGGCCTGGATGTGGCACTTGCCCCGGTCACTCGAAAGGGCAGCTCGCAGACTTGCACAAGGGCACTCGCTCCCTCCGCACGGGGGGTGTCCTCACCTGGACGCCTGCTCTAAGAGGAGCCGGCTGCGCGCGCCGCGACGGGAAGGCAGGCCCCGAGAGCGTCTCCTGCTAACACACACGCCGCGGGAGCCAGCCCCCACAATGCCCCCACGCTCCCTGTGCCGCATGCCCCGGAAACCGCTCCCAGCACCGCGAGCTTTGCCACATGTTGCTAATTGCAGGCGCCTCCGTCTGCCACTCCACGGAGCCGTTGTACCTCTGTTTGCCCAGCCGGGGGCATCCCAGGGGCTCTGGGGTCAGGCGGCCCTAGAGCGCAGAGGGGCACCGACTTCCTGTTTCTGCAGAGCTGGCAACCGGCTGCCCCCTCTGCGCAGACAGGCGCCAATCGCTGCCTCCCGGCTTGGGCACAGGTGGCCTCCCCCTTCCCTCTGCATTTGCATGTGCTGCAGCAGCCGGACAATGGGTATTTTATATGCTCCCTCCGAACCGGCGCTCGCTGGGCAGAGCCAGGGCCGCCAGCCCCTCTGGAACCGCCCATGACTTGTCTGGCCGAGCTGAGGTCTCAGTACCCAACCCCCCGAGCCCCGCAGGCAAACCGCCCAGAACAGCTAACCGGTTACCCGTCGACTGTCCTGACCCGGCCATGGGGGCTGCTCCAGAACCACCGCTCAGTGTGGCCACGGTCCTGCAGCTGGGCTGCCGTGGGGTGGGGGGGACGCTCTGGTTAACCAGCTAGCCAGTGAAGTGTATGCTTACCAGTCAGCCGGTTACCCTTTCACACGCCTACCCCGGAACGTGACTGTTACAAGTAAGGCACAGCGCAGAACCGAGCCCCCCCGCCCCCCGCTAATGCCCTTGGCAGGCTTAAATCCGCCCCAGGGACGCTGAGCTGGCTGCTGGGGTTAATCCCATTGTCATCTGCCAGCCACTTTCCTCTCCTGAGCTGACCTGGCCCCGCACGTCCCCTGGCCCTCGGCTCTGCCGCGGCAGGGAGGGGATTTTATCGACGCCGCTGCCGGGTTCTCAGCAGGGCCTAGGGTTGCCAGATACTTTCACAAAAAATACCAAACCTGGCAGGAAAAAACCCCCCACGAGACCGTTTTGGAGCCAATACCGGACACCTGGCAACCCTCGCAGGGCCAGGGTGCACGAGGCTGCGAGCAGGACGCAGAGCGACTGATGGGAGCGTGGGGAGCTCCCCAGGGTGGCCCCCGTCCCGTCCCGTCCGTCGGGAGGCAGCAATGGAGCTGGCTTCCACGAGCCGAGGCCGGCAGCTTCCCACCAGCCTCTTGGCACAGGACTAAGAGGGGGCCGCACTGCTCGTCGAACCATGCCTGCGATACACAAGGCCACGTGCCACGCCCCCGCGCACGGCAAGGGGAGGGCAGCCGGCCACGTGCATTCGCTCGCAGGCAAATGCAGCTGGTCCATGGATGTCACCGGACCAGAGAGTCCAACTGAGCGAGGTGCACCCTGTACCTCAATCTGCCGGCAGCTCTGCCTCGCCCTGATCAAGTCAAGGAATGTGAGGAAGGGCTGAAGAATCAGGCCCATAGTGAATCATCGTGTTTCACGGGGAGGTCACCGGCACGGGGGAAGCCCCAGGAGATCACAGGAGAGGTGATGCTGCACTTACCAGGGTGCTGCTGGGCCCGTCCTTCTTCTGCTTGGACTTCTCTTTGTCGAACCCTAAAACAAGGAGCAAGGTGTTACAGCTGCCTGGAAAGCAGGACCAAGACCCAGCTCCCTGCCCACCGCCTCCCAGGCTCTGCGGGGCTCCTGTCCTGACATGGAAGGGCAGTTTAATTCCCTGCAAGCCGTGCCCAGGAGAGAGTCGGATGCTGCCTGGCCGATCGGGCGGGT